ATGTAGTGCAGAATATGTATAAAATATAAAATACATGACAGAACATGATAGATTTAACTAAATATTTGCAAAGAGTGATAAGATGGTTTGTATTTGGTGACTGTAGTACAAGTTTAATTGTTCTTTTTGTTTAAATTTTGGTAATAACTGTTAATTTCTTTAAGGATATTATATATGTCATCTCTGTGTTCTGTGTAAGTACTCCTTTGTTCATTCATGGCTTCTAGCTGTTCATATCTATAAAACATAAATCTGTTTGCATACATAAGATTGTGTTCTTTCTTATTCAGATGAAAAGGTAACAACGTTTTTCACTGGTGGGCCAGTCTGGGCTGCCAACTGGTGCCCTCTGCCCCTTGAATGCACTTCAGCCAATCAGTACATAGCCATCAGTTGTCATAGAGATTATGAAACCACACATACTTATGACGATCTGTACTCTGAGAAAGGAATGATTCAGTTATGGTGTTTTAAAATACTGAACAAAAAAAGGTAATTAAGTTCTAGAGTGTTGTGAAAATACACACATACAAATATTTGCATTAAAGTACACATTTATATGAAGAATGTGTAGTGCCGTGCTAGATGGGGTGGGGCGGAGCAGAGCGGAGCAAATTATAAATTTACTGGTAGATGGATATTTTGATAAGAAATGCATGTTCAATCTTATTTGCATACTTATTTGAATACAAGTCCATATTTGCTTACTTATTTGCATACAAGTCCATATTTGCTTACTTATTTGCATATATTTGCATAACAAGTTATCTTTTGTTTCAAATAAACAGACAATATAGCCTGCCATACCTGAGTCTGGGAATAGCTCACGAGTTCGGAGCCATATGGGATATGAAGTGGTGTCCTAGTGGAGCATGGGAAGATGTACAGCAGTCTGGGAAAGAGGTATCAAGACTTGGATTGTTAGCGTTGTCCTGTTCTGATGGCACTGTACGGATACTCTCCATATGTCACCCAGAATGCACTGATGATGAAAGCTTTCCAGGTGAGATTGTAGGAGTTCACAAGTTACAGCAAGTCTCAGAAGTATTGGGGCAGCAAGTTAGCTCTCTAGTTCACAAACTACTTTGATTTTCACTAAAGCAGTTGACCTACGATTTGAATATTACCCTTCATTCTACCACCATTAATTGCTAGTCATCTATAAAAAAAAACAAAAAAAAACCAATTATATTTTAAATAAGTTCATGAGATTTTACAGGACTGAAGAGCATGCAAAATTGTTTGTGTTGGTTAAATCTTCTTCAGTCAAAACGCAAGTTGTCAACGAATTAGTGACCTGATTTGCTAAAGTACTACCCCAATACCTCCGAGACTTGTAAGTGTCTAACAACAGTGCTTCTCATTGGCTACCAGATCAAAACAGTTAACTGTTAGTTAGCGTTTGTGACTACCTTTATATAAGTGATACATTTTAGGCAGTCCCAAGGCAAATAGGAGCAATTCCGTTCAACAATGTTTTTGCAGATTTGCAAATGAGGCCAAAATAATAATCAGCATTTAATATATAAAACAACTTTTAATTTTGCCAAGTCAAGCTTTATTTATTTTGATCAACTCAAAAAAATGTATTTTTGTTTCAACAGTCATCTCATTTCCTGAACAAATATTATATCAGATATGTGAGTTTGTGATCCATATACCGGTAATCCAACCTGCATATAAAGACCACCTGTCTATAGAGATCAATTTAATTAAGTCCTATGAGTGGCTACTATACACAGGTTTGATCTTGCATAGATTGCAATTGCCATCTTGTGTTCACATGGGTATCCTGTAAGCAGATTGAGAGTCAGATTATAAAGGTACAGGTCAGGAGTGTATGATTTAGGATGCATTCCAAATTGCTAAAAATATATTCCAATGAGTGTTGTAGTTCATTGGCTAGTTTGGTTTAGTTCCAGCAAATTTCTTTTCTCCATACTTTTGAATATCCAGTCACAGGGAACAGCTTGGGAACATTTAATGAAATTCTTGTCAATGTGTCCATCTTTAAATCTAACAGCATATTTACCATAATATTCATCTGTGCATGCTGTATAGTTTACAAGATGAAACCAAGTGCCGTGTTGAAACCTACACCTACTGTATCATCCCAATGTAAATGCCTGGACTGGTCACCCGACATAAACCATAGAAAACTTGCTGCAGGATTTACTGATGGTAAGATAACAAATAGTAATACTGTCAACCATTTAATTTTCATTGCTAGAAATTTTCAAGACAAAAGTTCCGAAAGTAACTGAGATTCTGTCAAACCCCAGAGAAATGAATTTTCAGTATCGTAAAACCATTTATTTTCACTATTTTGATTTTCAAACCTTTTCATTGGATTTTAAGGTCAGAAATGAGGCAGAAAATAAAACAGTTCTACTGTTATTTTACATGTTCACGTAGATTTAATTTAGCGAATTTTACTTATCAGCGAAAATAGTGAAATTAAAATCCAGTGAACAATAATACAACTCTGAGTCAAGCAATCAGTAATTGCAGCCTTTGGTTTTATAATTTGGGGCTGGCAACATGGCTATATTATCAGTACTTCTCAATAATAGTGTTTGTCACAAATACAAGATTCTACTAAATATATAAGACTGATGTAATTATTGAATCATATGTTGACAATAAGCACAAGTAATAACAACTTTTTCAACCCAAAATGTTTATCTTAGCTGTGCCTTTTCAGTAAATCACAAGAAGTTTGTCTTCATAGCTAAAGTCTGTCTGGAATTATTTCAATACAACACATACAAGTACATCTGTCTGTATTCTAGTTGACCTTTTTGTTTGTCTGACTTGCATGCATAATTATTACGTAATGTTTACTAGTGTCATTTCAGATTTGTTTGTATTTTTTTTTAACCAAATTGACATTAGTCCCCATTTGAACGAATTTAATACATCTACCGGTAATTTCTGTTGATACTAGACCAGCCATTTATTCACTATCAATTAAACTATGCTTTTGTCCTGTAACTTAATTTTTGGCATGAATAACATTTCCCCTAATTCCAACAATAACAATGACAATTTAAAATAAAACCAGAAAACATGAAGCAGGTTTAGTTAGTGAAAAATAACAATAGTTGACTATGGCATTTAAAGAGTTAAAGTGTTAAGACATAATTTGACCTGTAACTTTTTTCCCCAAGTAATGCTATTGCATTGTGTCTAATTTGCATAATACAACTTTGTCACTAATGTATTTAATGGAAAAGAAATAATGGTCTGGAAATGAATATTTAATAAAAAAATTTACCTCTATTGTTTCTTGAAAGTTCAAGTTTTTGACAATTTTACTTTGTTGACATTGTAGGCCTGGTTGTTTTATGGGATTTGATGACATCATCACCGCTATTGAAAACCTCCTCTGGGACGTCTCCAGAATGCTTCTATCCATATCACTCACTACGAGCGCATGAAAACTATATCACTGATCTGAATTGGTGTAAACACTCAGAGACATACATGGTGACCAGCGGCGGGGACCGTTACTTGAAGACGTGGGATTTGACTGCTACAAATGAGCC